TATCTTCCATACATCTGATTGTTCAGATATGGGATTTTACTGTAAAACTCCTTTATTTGAACAGCTAAAACCGATAAATTTCGTAAGATATTTTATAAATAATAATACAAAGTCTACTGAGAAAATCGTCAAAATCTATGCTGTATAAGCTTTATCTCCTATAGCACTGATTGTTCAGATACCAGTTTTTGCGATATATCTCCTTTATGTAGGAAACTAAACCCAATAAATTGTGTTACCGGTTTACATACCGATCACATAGCAGTGAAAATCACTTAGATTGGTGCCATATAAAGTATATCCTCCATACCTCTGATTGTTTAGATGCGATTTTTTATATAAATATGTAACTCCTCTATCGATGTATGCAGATGTATTCAAAATCAGTAATCTGTCAAACTAAAATTTCATGAAAGGTATGAAGCCTTCGGCATAGCCGAAGACAGCGCTGCTCTTACTTGTTTTAATTTAATTTAGTTAAAAAAAACTGATTGTTAAAAAATGAACAGCACAACACTGAGGCCTCCGTGCTAGCAGATCTTTTCAATTAGTCTTTCGAAAGACAGTACGGAGCTTTCAAGATCGTTGCCGGAATTTCCAATTGTCTGACGGAAGACTTTTGTCTTTCGAAAGACTGTGGTGAGTTGAAAGACAGTTGCCAGAATTGCCCTTTTAATATCCAGAGAATACTGTGCATACCCAACAAACATTTAGGTTTGAGCTCAACTTGAAGTTAAGTTGAGAACTAAGGTCTTTCTCAAATCTCCAATATTGTTTCTCAACAATACCTCAAGTGGAGGATCGTAGCATTCTCAAAAAAAATGGGATTTTTCTCTGCATGAAAAAAGTTTGTTTCTCAAGTTGAGAAAAAGCTGGCTCTCAACTTGAACTCCAATGTGATCATCCAATCGGTCTAAAACATATCATTGAAATACTGAAATTAAAATAGTAAAATAGTGTATACCTTTTTGATTGAAAGGACATAGTTAGTTAGTTAATTGTATGGGTGTACTATAACAAGAGACACCGCGACCTAAAAGATCTTTTGTATCTGCGTTCCGAGTGTACCCACTCAGAAATTATGGCTCTCGAAGAGAACCAACTGAGGCCACAGAATGGTCGAGGCCCCGAAAAGGCAGTTAGCGATCCTTCACGTGCCAACTCGTCGGCGATGTCGTTGCCTTCTGGTCTCGTACCCAGCACAGTGTTACCGTGTTTTTGGCTGCCAAAATTTGTAGCGTGTCAGAGCAGCCTCTAACCAGCTTGGATTTGATAGTCCTGTTTGAACGGGCCCGGATGGCTGCTTGGCTATCTGAAAAGATAACTTAAAATAACCCCTTCAAACCCCTTTCAAGGTTTAATTTTAGTACGGTCTAAGCCTCTTTGGACCAATTTCCTTGGGACAGATTCATAGGCAGTATTACAGAAAGCCCGCCGATGCTCAAGGAGGTACACAGAGCGATATCATTTGCCTCGAAGGCACTTTCGATCCTACTAACCAGATAGTGTAGGGCCGAATCCGTTGATATCCATTTGACATGACTTTGACTTTGAAGGGCATAAATTTAAATAGATATAAATATGTAGTTAATCAATATCCTAATATAATTATTCAAAGTCAAGTTTTCAGTCGTCCGTCTACAGTCCGACAGTAGTCTACCACTTGATTCACTTCGCGTTTTATCTTCATTGAAGACACTTTTTCCTTTTTTTGGTAATTTTCCTCTTTATGTAGCTTAATTTTTTTTTTCACTTGGTAATTAAAAATTCGTTTCTTTATACTTTCGAATGCATATGTATCGTTCACGCTGGCACTTAAATATTTTTGTTTATTAAAAGCAGTGCTGCCATATTTGAGAAAATTGGTTTTTTCAAGTTCATCTCAACTATCAATTCAAAGTTAGAGATAGGTTGGAAATTTTAACTAATAAGGAGGGGTTATAAGGGTTTTTATTGTGGAAATTCACAAAATACACATATTTAAATATAAAATATATTCTTTTATTAGGAACATGCTGCGAATAAACAACCAATTTATCAGCTGTTCATGAAACTTGCAAATTATTACTGGAAAAGCGTTCGCGTACTTTTTTGTAAATTTTTTCTATGAGAGCGTATTCTTAGAAATAAAGTTACTGAAGAGTTGCTGGCAAGTTACTGGATAATTTGCAAACAAACACAACTCATAATACCATAGATAACATTATTAAAACACAGTGTAAAGCTTGCTTAACAGTGAAATCTAGTGAATTATCTACCACATCGGCGATCACTAGCTGTTTGGCCAAATGCTACCTTTGCTTTTTATAACTTTTTTGATAAAGAAAACCTGTTTTGCCCAACGTTACTGATTACCAATAAGCACGCGGTTGGCTTTGTTGCTTGGTTGGCTGACGTCACCGCTCACTTCGCCGGTTCCGCTAGCAGCGCACTGTACTATTACATAGCAGCAGAGAGAACTTGTAAATTAATAACTTCTCCTCTGTTGAGAAGCGATTGTGGTTATGCTACAGAATGTTAATGAAATTAGCAGTGTTGCCACTATTCTTCTTTTCCGACCAAATTTGATCGCTTCTTTTTCATTTGGTAAGTTGGTAGGCAAAGTAAGATTTTGGTCGGATAGTTGAATTAAGTTTTTAAATTCTTAATTTTAAAAATATATTTTTCTAACTTAATTTTGCTTATAAGTATTTGCCAATTTTACCTTTTAAATATTTGCTAATCCTGCTTTTAAAAATAAGAAACCTTATTGGGTTGGCCACTCATGGAGCCAATGTTATGGCTGGAAACTTGTGCGGGCTGAAATCATTATTCAGTGCAGAAAGCGATTTATTTTATATAAAGTGCACATGCCACTCATTTCACCTTTGCTCAAGCTACGCTTTTATAAAAACTCCGAAAAGCATAGAGACACTGTACCGCAACATATATAGCTTATTTTCCCACAGTCCAAAGAGGATACATGAATTG